TTAATATCTAATAATAATAATGAAAAATAGTTTCAATAGTCCTGGCTGTGTTACTGTGAATGATATAAAACCTGAAGTTCCAGGATGCACATTTTCTAACCTAATGACACGAAAACTGAATATATTTCATAATTCAACATTTCACTCATTGTACTGCGAATAGTCTTTAATAAATCACAAAATATTTCAATTAGATCTAAAAACTTGCTTTTTTCCACATCCAAAAGAATATCCATAGAAACTCTTACAAGCTGATGACGTTATGGAGGGCAGACGATCATCACTAGCCAAAAGCAATTTTTAGATAAGTAACAAGATAGCTTCTCAGCTCTAGAACGTACTCAGCATTCGGACACTTCTAAAAACAAACTAATCGCGTCCTCGAGTTTCCCTGTTCTAACAAGGCCTATTTCGGTAACCTACTAATGATAATTTACTGTAAAATAACAATATGTTACTTAAGGCACACCAGTTCACAGGCAAGATCACAAGGTTAAAATCGCGAAAACGTTTACTGTAAAAGGCTGTTAAGTTCGATAAACATTTCGCAAGATATTCTGGCTTTTTGAAGGGAGCTAGAATTTTTCTCATAAAACTGTCAATGCTTCAGGCTCTGGAATATACAATACAGTGGTGTGCATGAGTTATGTCGAATGCGATATGACGAGCGACTGCTGGTTAAGAATCAATGCAAGTTAAATCCAAGGCTATATATAAAAAGGATTAATGACGTTGGCATGCATTGATCTTCTTGGTGGCATTGGCCAGATAATAATTCAGCAGACTCCTGGGTAAAGCAACCAAGTTTCCGGGAATATCAAGTCTACTTTTTAAGGAGTGAAATAAGCTTCAAAAAAGAGAAATAAGAAGAATGGGGCGAACAGAACAGAAAATATTACTGTTAAAGCTCAGTTATGACTTAATAGATACTTTTTTGGATTAAGAATACTTTCCTTTTTCTGTATTAGAACTCTGTGTTTATGTGGGTGAATGAGAATAAGTCACCAGGAAGACAACTAACGGGCAAATAATCCTGTTAATAGAATCGATCCAGAAGGACCAAACTGTTGGGAATTGTGCTGATTTACAAAATATGATATGGAAGGTCCAGTGATTTGATGTTTTGATTGTATATCATTTAATGTTTCTCATTTTAACACCGTTCCTCGAGAAATCACAAGTGAGCTCTCCTGCAGCATAACTTTCTAGGTCAGCTTGTATCAGATTTTCTTGGTAGAAAGGAAAAGCAGTGCAAGGCTACAAACATGATTCGGAGACGTGGTATAAATGGTAAAGTAACAACAATATCATTGATTAGTTACATTCGGATATATCTTAAGGAAGTGTGTACTGTATTTCGGGAAGTCCGCTGGCCATCTCTAAGCAATAAGTCTATTAAAATTGCAAACTCGTCTTATACTAAAAGGAAACAAACAGAGTTTCCATGACTCCGCCGTTTCTGTGACGTAAGATAAAAGCGAGAGCCGTCTCTCTGTTACTACCAAGAGGTTAGGATGGAATGAAGATGAGGCGGGTAGTTATAGCTATGTAGGCAAGCAAATTGCCTATCGAAACCTTCTAGCATCGATGGATGAAAAGACACAGCCAGTGAAATTAAGGCAGAAATGGCTTTGTGAGTATAGAAAATTCAAGGGAGGGGTTGATGGGCTTGCGGTTAACTTTTATCCAAGACCTGTAACAGTTGTTCTATATTTATCAGTCTTCCATGATCAGGCTTTCGTTATCTAACTTTGGTTAAGATTTACCTTAATAACCCAAACTTTTTATTGCATGGTGTCAGATCACTTAGAACGCGTTCTTATTTAACCAAACACAAGGTTACGAAATGGTATAATTTATGAATGCTGTTCTTTTATCGATTTCTGGAAACAGTAGTTTAAATCCCTGAAAAAGAAAATTTGATTTCCTTTTGTTGGGAATATATTATACGATACTTGGGTACCTGATAGTTACTCATGAACCATTTACAGTCATACAGTACGCTACCATGTTTCAGACAGGCCGTTCACTGCGGGGCGAATGTAACGGCCAAAATCACATCTATCAGTGTTTATTCGATTTGAATAAACTACGTCCTTCTGTACGGTGTATAAAGCTTTACTGAGTGACTTGTGCTAAATTATATCGAACACAGCCCAGATTAAACGGACTTGCTTTGGCCGACATAAGTACAGTCAGTTCGGAGGAGGTCCTTCAGGAAATAGAACTCATAAAAGTAGGTTTCTCCTGTGCCTCACCCTCGAAGTAGTGTCAGTCAGAAGGCGTCTATGAAATTCAGTCGTAATAATAATCATAAAATTTCTTCTCAAGCAACACAATGCTACATGAGGCATATCAGTTTACAGGTAAGACCCTTTTATAGAAGGAAAGTCACAAGCTGACAGCTCAAGTCATCCATCGTCAATCATTCAGGATATCATAATGTATGTGAAGAGGCACTGACTGCTGTTCCAGAGTGAAATAAATGCATCAAACTTAAAAGCGAAATACAACCAAATTTATCATAGAAAATCTTGGTTTATTGACCACAGGTGAGAAATTGAAAGTTAATCATAGTAACAAGGCAGTTACACGTCACAGAGTCAAGAATGGCAGATGTCCTGTATCCAAAAAGTGCTTTGAGCATAGCACTGAATTGATAAAAAGGGCCACTCAACCAGTTATTGCCTCATAATTGCTCTATTGTAGCCTTGGTGTAGGTGTGCAAACTAGGTAGCCAGATGGACTTGAAATATAATCAAATCAAGCTGTCATATGTTACACTCAAACCTATACATTAAAGAGACTTATACCACAGAATGGACAAAAACTAAAGGTATCTGAAGTTTTATCCGTGAAGGCGTTTCACTCGCAGACTGCATGAGAAGGAGCCAAAACTAAGTTTATGTAGTGTTCAGAAGGACCTTAGATTTGTAAATTTACTTGAAACGAGCCTTGGACAGAAGTTGGTGCTCATGCCGCTGTGGGTGCACCACGACGCTATTTAAATAGTCTTCACGTCTGTTACTAAATTCCAAGAGCTTACTCATCAAGCATTTGGAGTTAGGTCCCTAGATGGACGTTACCAAGCCAGATGCTATCGCCACCAGAGAGTTGGCTGACCCTGTCTATAGACAACGGAGAACTCAATTTAAAAAGTTCGCACAGGCTGGGCCAACAGAACCCAGAACCGTTTATGAGGAGCAGTGGTCTTCTTCATCATAAAAACTACCCTTTTTATCGTTATCGATAACCTATCCCTTGAAATTGGAACCCCGATTAGTTAGTAAATTTTACTGCACCACACATCTCTTGAACAAGACTAAAGAATCCATGTTTCAGTAAGCACCATGAAATCAAAACAGAGTTTTCATTTTGGGAATAACTGTTCAGGAAGTTCAGATAAGCGCCTTGCCAAGTTAAATCCAAAAAAGCAGTTGACCTGGGTGAGTAACGATTATAAACAATATTACAATATTACTCCTTCCGTTATAACACAGAGTGCTTCCAGTTCTGGAAGGGGCTCCAAATTTTGATCCAAATTGCACCCTTCCAGTCCAGATGAACGTACCACTCATCAGACGATCAAATTCGATATGGCTGTTGCCATAATTAAGTATCAACTTAAACAACATAATACAGTTCAGGAAGAAACAAAGAAACTCAAAAAGGTACGAGAATTAGAAACTATAACAAAATACAAATATTAACATCCCAAAATGGGATTAAACAGACCACCAAATGTAAAACAGACAGAGTCAATAAGAACAAATTACAAACGTATACACGGAGGGATTTTCTCAAACAAAACCTTCCAAAAAAGGATTCTACAGGCATGTTCGTACTTTTCTCCGTATGAGAAAGGATGAGGAGGAGATATAAGTAACTGAGCACCAATGTGATAAAATTACAGTATCGGTAAGCTAAAATTATTTTTGCTTACACTGTACGCAAGTTCAGAACATTGCATTCAACACACTTTGCTAAGGAGTTTATAGGATTCCCAAATTCCAATAAAAATTACATGCTATGTGTATTCGAATGAACCAGATAAATGTTTCCAAAAGAGTAATGATCTAAATTAGTCATTAGAGTGCAGATATGTGTGCGTTGAACAAAAATGATCCATCTGCTTCACATACACACACAATGGCCTGAGGGTCAACGTGGAAAGAAAACTGAATACTTTTACACACTTGCTTGCAGTGGCTTCCAAAGGCTTTGGAACCGAATGGTCGACATGTTAAACTAGTAGCCATGTCGATACTAGGGCATTTTTGACTTTGCATGCAGCATTCTTTCTCCTAAACCTGAGTTTTGTGCACATGCAGCCAGATTCTATCCATAAGAAAACAATCAGCTGTTGCATGAGGTTCAAAGAACCGTAACTAAGGTAATTCCCAGAACCTTAAGGCTGTCGGCTCACTGACTAAATTAGACTTACTTTCTATATCATACGGAAGGACCAGAAGTAAGTAAATCACAGTTTTTAAATTAATTAATAGTTCATTTGGGTCTGAAACGCCCTTGTGTTTTTTTGCCTTCCAAGAAAGAGTTTAGGATGATACTATATGAACTATCAAAAGCACGGAAAACAATTGTCTGTCACCTGACTACTGATTTTCTCAGCGAATCATCAACTAATGGAACAAGTTAATACAATACATGACTGTAGCTTTGTCAATCAACGCATTTCAGAGAAAGCTGGGTCAACTGTGTGATGAAAACTAATAGGACCCACAAATGCTATCCAGCCTCCTGTCTTTCTCAAAGTGAAGATGATAGTGAATTCCATATTTTATGCTGTGATTGGAGAAATTGGATATTGGACTGTTTGTTCCTGCATATCAAGACTTTTATGTGAGATTTTCTATACGAAGTATTTAAAAAAACTAGCTCTCTGATTGGAAACTTTTATTTCACCCATTACCAAATATATCAAAATCAAAAGATTGGACATGTTTTAATACACCATAGTTGAAGTATTCCGCCTTGGAAAGGTCGAGTCAGTCGTTTGATGTAATGCTCGCATACCCGTTTGGTTTTTGTTTTTAATCGAGGATATATAATCATTTTATAATCACCTATCAGTAAAGTCATGGAGTGGAGTGAACAGTACGCACAATCAGTCACAAGTATTAAGCCTGAGAATTACGATATGGGATCAGTCATTAAACCAGAAAGCTTTGATATGACTGTTGTTTCTCAAAATGAGTGAGTATATTTTGCTAATTACATCATTGTTAGTGTTATTGTCTCTTTGTCAAACGATGGGGGTACAACAATTCTTTCTACCGGAGAAATAAGGTAAGAAGCATGTTTTATGAGGTTTTGTTTGCTACTTTTACATGATACTAATGAACATGCATTCTTTTTGATATGGTCGTTCTATGATTGTTCATAAACGTTTAAGTGTTGTTAGTCAGGACAGGACCAAAAAATATATGTCTACAATGTAGTGCAGCAATGCTTTCAGCATGTGTTTTCTATGTCATAAACAGATTCATATCATAAATTCTGTAGATGTACTATTGGTAGCGATAGTGTTGCTCATCGTTGACAGCTTGATTACTCTATTTGGTTCCGTTAGCATGTTGCATATTCGACCGCCGTTTCCCCATGCGTGTGAATTATTTTACTTGCTCGCTTAATCCACCGACAAGCTTACTGAAGTTAATGGTGAGTTATTGTTGCACGGAAATTAAGTGAATTGTCGTGAACGTGTGAAACGAACAGGGTAATTGACATCTAATCAGAACCCTTAAAGAGTAGAACTGGTTCGCGTAGCTTATAGGCTATAATATACTAATTATTCTGAAGTGGGTTTTTTCGTCAAACATTTTTACCGTGGATAATTAATTAGCTTAATTCACCTTGTGGCTACCATACTCTCGTTATTCTTATTCTTCAGTTTCATCACCCTTTCGATCTGTGTTCACTAGGTTTTGGTCGTTTAGTTATTTATGTTACGTATGTTGGTGCTTGGATGTATTTAACCGTTTTGGTGATGTGAGTAGCTTTGATTCATCGTTGTAATATTAATTCGCTCAAGGTTACACCCGAGTACCTACTGTCAGTCAGTTAGTATAGTGCCTCGGACAAACGTGTATCTTTTTAAGTCGCCACATTATATCAACACAATAAAATGAAATTATCAAGAACAGTTCCCACTAAAGCTGCAAGTACACCACTTGATTAACAACTTAACTAATGAGTTACGTACATGTTCTTATATGGTGGTTGATAATATCACACAAATGTTTAGGTGGAGGTACTTAAGCTTTGTTTTTAACATGTGATTCAATAACAATGAGATGACTGATTTAGTTATTAAACCATCACCAAAGTACTGCACTCTTAGCACTTTCAAAGAGCACACTAATTTATTAAAAAGAAAGTGCAGTGTTCAGCGGCCTACTTTTCTGTTATACGTCTTCAGCAGTGCTGTATTACCAGTCGTTAATGCATTTACTCTTTAGCTTCACATAACTCTTGAGGTTTCAGAACTAGTTCGCATAGGTTGTTCCTCAAAATCATACTCAGTTTTCTAACCGTATTCTCCAATATTTCGTTTTCCATGCTGCCATTGTTTCTACTGTTATTTTGACTTAAACTGTTGGTCTCGTTTTGATAATTGTGGTATCGGAACATGAGCTGACACATTTCCCAGGCTATATGTTATATATGTCTGAATTGATTGTTTATTCTGTGTTGAACATCAAAAACAGAATCAGTCCAACGAATAATTTAGCTAATACATGAATGTCCTCAGGAATCTTGAAGTTCCCAAACTATTTACATAAATAAAATGCAAATGATATCATTTATCCTGGGAGTTATCTCATGAAGTTCAAACCAAAACATCAATGATTTTTGGGCTTAGCATGCACATTCCATTACCAATAAATTATGTTTTACAGGAGTGACACTGGTTAAAGCGAAAATTGACTCAATCAATCCAGGTTAAAAGGTCCAGGTTCTTAGGATGTTAGGAACTTTTATATTTTTCGTTAAAAATTCTCTAGATCTTGTTTTTACATTTCCAAGCACTTTCAAGTCAGCTTTCGATTAACCATTTCCTACTTCCTCTTAGTAACGGGAGTTTGCAAGTTCCATCAAGTGATGGACTTATAGGTTCTCCATCAGCAAAAGAAATTGAACGTTTCAATAATCTTTCTGAGGAAGAACTAAAAAACAAATCCCTTCCTGATCACTTAAAAGAAGGACTTGATATCGTGATAGTGGGGATTAATCCTAGCTTGGCTTCAGCACACGTTGGACATCATTATGCTGGTCCTGGAAATCATTTCTGGACATGTTTGTCACAAGCTGGTTTGGTTCCAATGGCTGTCAGTTGCTATGATGATTCTAAAATGTTAGACTACGGTATCGGATTCACTAATGTTTGTACAAGACCAACCAAAGGTGCAGCTGAACTTACACGCAAAGAGATGAAGGCTGGTGCAGCAATCATGCTTGAAAAAATGAGAAAATATAAGCCTAAAATTGCCGTGTTCAATGGTAAAGGTAAGTTACTGCCATTAAATAACACTTATTAATTAGTTTACAACCTAGCACACATGTTTGTCGGGCCAGGTCATATCACACCGATATACAAATGAGATGATTAAAATATATCAGAATCGCAGGATTAGTCTTGATGTCAAAAAGTCTAGTATTTTGGTACAACTCATCTCTCTGAGCTAATGTGGTGTAGTAACTTTAACCTATGCACGTATGTCAGGTTTTACGTTGCATATGACTGACTAATTTTGCGTATTATTATAAACTACTGACACTTTTTTGTTGCTAGCAGCAGTAAAATAAAGCAGTGACTTAGTGATTTTAGCACTTCTCTTATAACACTGTTGCATGTTTGAACTCCGGAGCACCTTATTCATGTAATGTAATTGTTTGTTACATTTAAAAAAGTAACTCAAATACAAATCGCCAAGTTACATCAGGAGCACTTGTTTCTGTAGTTTCGTGTATCCTTTGTAAACTTTAAAACAAACAGTACGTAATTGTCTAACAAGAAGTGTAAAATTTTCACGATATTATTCATTATCTCCTCCACCTTACCATCATATTCATGTTACATTACCGAAAATGGTGATCACTCGAGGAAATATAACTTTCTTTAATCACTTTTTTTTAATACGGTTTAATTCCCAAATCTCCATTTGAGATTTATTGGGTACGATTTGAAGGAAACTAGTATATATATCTTTTGACAAGTTTCTTATCATAAGTGCTCTTTAATTAGTGAATACTACGAACACTTTGGGACTTTTTGCTAGTTTTTTTTTATGTTAACCGGGTAAGTTAGCTATTATTTCAGTCTTAATTTTTGTACACCAAAGTGCTCAGAATAGATTATAAGTATTTTCACTGTTTTGTTGTATATAGGCATTTATGAGGCATATGTTGGACATAAAAATTTTTGCATGGGAAGGCAACCAACAACATTGGATGGAACAGATATAGTAAGTTATATTGCAAGCTTTTACATGTTGGGAAACTTCTTTTTTAAGATATTTTTGTATACACTTGTTTTCCTTCTATTTTTGATTTTTTTATTAACTCAATGTGGTGTCAGGGATTTCATGTTTGGTACTTTTGTCTTTCTGCACTGACTTGTCAATGACTAATTAACTGATATGTTCCTAAAATACATGTTCATCAAACAAAATGATTCGAAGTTCAGTGTACAATGGTGGATTCTGTGTTCGGTAGATTGTAGATTGAAAATTGAATAGAAATATACATTTAAGATTTAAATGTTAATTATTTTCAAAAATGGTATACCTTACATAAATTATTATTATTTTTTTATTTCTTTTTATAGATCATATTTGTAATGCCTTCGTCTAGTGCACGATGTGCACAACTTCCACGTGCTGAAGATAAATTACCATTCTTTTTAGCTTTAAGAAAACTACGTGATTATGTACGTGGTGATCTAGCTGAATTGCCTGATTCTGAAGTTGTATTCGCTGATTATACTGAATTTCGTGTTACTCAACCAGATCCAAAAAGTTTACGTAAAGCTGAACGACGTCGTAAACGTAAAGCTGAAGCAGCTGCAGCCGCTGCAGCTGCTGCATTAGCTGTAAATTCTGGTGATGCCAGTATGGTGAATGGAATTGTTTCTAATCAAGTGATATCTACTGATGCTGGTGTTAATGTTACAACAGTTTCACAAGCTTCTAATAATGGTTTATCGCTTGATGGTAAAATAAAATCTAAATCAAAACGTAAGTAGTATTTGGTAAATTATAAGTTCACAGTCAGTCAGTCAGTCAGTTGCAACGTAGAACTTCGTACGTAAGTACATCAGTTCATGTTGCCATACCACATCAGCACACACAGAGATGTAATTGTCAATTCAAATCCAATAGTAGAAGAGGTTGTAAAGGTATTGGAAGTAATGGAAGAGGTAAGGATGAGAAGATATTATTCAAGAAGTATGATTAAATGAGGAAAGTTTAGAAAGTCACAACTAGAGGTGTTGAAGAATCCAGAAGATTAGGATTTGAGAGAGCTCAAAGAATGGATGCACTTGCGCCATTGCGAACGATTTCAAGCCATGTCATTCAAGGTCTCTAACCATCGAGTACTAACATTTTGCGGACCCCAACCAGGTAGTCGACACCTACCGACATGACTCAGTTCACTTGTCAGTGACGTCATGGATTGCTGCCACGTTTTAGTCTGGCCGCCCCTAACTTTCTTCCAACCTACTCCTACACTACAAAACAAAGCTCCTCGAGGCAGTCGGTGGTTAGGCGTACGTTACACATGTCCCAACCACCTCAACTGATGAAGTTTCAATACTTCATCTATTGATCTGCCATCCTTACCTAGCACCCGTTTCCTAATAACAGCGTTGCTCACTCGGTTGTCCCAGGATATACGAGCGATGCTTCGAAGACACCTATGATCGAAAACCAGTAACCTACGAATATCTTCTACTCTCACTGGCCATGTTTCACAGTCATAAAGTAAGACGGAGCGAACTGCTGAGCAGTACACTCGTCCTTTAGTCAGCAAACGGATATCTCGCCTACGCCATAAGTGACGCAGGTTGGCAAAAGCCAATCGAGCCTTCTGTATCTGAGCTGAGATTTCGT